AAAAAAAAAAACTCAACTCCTCACAAACTCTCTCAGACCATCCTATCTTCTCAAAAAAAAGGAAAAAAAATGATTGTTGTTTCTCTCCCATTCACCATATCAAAATCTCAGACCCAATTTTTTTTTCCTATCACCAATTCTTAACTTACTTTTTCTCTCTAAAATCACTCATTCTAATCATCAACCTCCCTTCTCTTTTTCTTCTGTTGAACCAATAAAAATCCAAAGTAAATCAACATAAAAGCAAAGCCAAGAGGGGAAGTAGTGAAAGAGAAAATAAGACCTCTACAACTCACCCCTTCAAGAAGGAAATAGGGCATTGCCCGGATCCAAGAAAAAGACAAAAAACGTCAAGGATCTTCAGTCAACGTCAGCAGCTCCTAGCGCACGTCAATTTCTCTCTTCTCCAACGACGTAAGCATCCACCGGCGCGCGTCAGACTTCTCTCTTCTCCAACGACGTCAGCAGCTACCGGCGCGCGTCACACTTCTCTCTTCTCCAACAACGTGAGCAGCCACCGGCGCATGTCAGACTTCTCTCTTCTCAAAGTTTCCAGTTTCCAGCTAATGTCCAAGCTTCTTCTTGCTTCAGCCAGAGTTCAGCTTGAGGGGGGATGTTAGACAATAATACTAATAGTATTTCTTGTAGTATTGGTTATGATAGTGTTTCATTATTAGTCAGCTTCCTAATCCTATTTGTGGTAGATGTTGTATGTTAGTTAGTTTCCATTCTCTATTCCTAGTTGTGTTAGGAATCTCTTCTATATATACTCTATCATGTACTTCATAATTCAAGGAGCAATATTATTATTCCGATATTAACACCGTGTGTTAATATCTCTTTGGAATCAATAAGTTTGCATCGAACTTCAATAAGTTTGCATCGAATCGGTCCCCTTAGTAACACCGTGTAAACGCTCCTTTAGTTGAAAAATATGAGTGCGTGAAAGGGAATTGTACCGTTGCTTGAGATGATTCCAGATTGCAGCCGCGGCGGGAAGAGCGTGAATATGGGTTTGAACTGGCATCTGGACACTGGCGCAAACACTCATGTTACGTCTGATCTGGCTCGGCTACACTCTCTGTCACCGTATCATGGCACCAACTCCATCACAACTGCAGGAGGTACTACTTATCCTATTGACCATACAGGCTCAGGTATATTAACCACACCACACCATAATTTTCACCTTACCAACCTCCTTCATTCTCCTCACATTAATTCCCATCTCCTTTCTGTTCATCAATTTACTAAAGATAATAACTGCTCTCTTCTTTTTACCTCTAAGGATTTTACGATTCGGGACAACCTAACCAATCCAGTTCTTTTCAAGGGCCCTTGTGAGCGTGGCTTGTACTCCATACCGGCGTCCAGTTCGTCTCTAGTGGTCAACTCCATCAAAGTCACTCCCTATCAATGGCACTGCCGTCTTGGTCATCCTTCAGTTCAAGTTACTCAGTCTTTATTGTCTCAATTAGGTTTTAAATATCAGCATCTAGATCATTGTAATTCTTGTTCTCTTGCCAAGTCTCATAAACTCCCCTTCCCTGTGTCTGACACCAAAACATCTGCTCCATTTCAACTAATTCATTCTGATGTATGGGGACCTACCTCTGTCCCCTCCTTTGGGGGGTACCATTTTTACATTAATTTTATTGATGATTATACAAAGTTCTGTTGGTTGTACCCTCTTAAAAGTAAACCTGATGCTTTTGATGCTTTTAAAAGTTTTCAATCTATGGTTCGTACTCAGTTCAATGCGCACCTTAAACTTTTTCGCACAGATAATGGCCGTGAGTATGTTATAAAAAGTTTGGGCTGTTTTTACAAAACTTGGGGATTCTCCACCAAAAATCCTGTCCATACACCCCTTTCTTGGGTATGATTCCTCTTCAAAGGGGTATCGCTGTTTCGATCGATCTCACCACCGGTCGCATATATATTTCTCGTCATGTCCAATTTCAAGAGAGTCAATTTCCATATTCTCCCGTCTCTACACCTACAGGGTCTCCCCCTTCTTCCCCGCTATTCCATGGTGTTCTTCCTATTTTTCCTATGGCGTCGCCGGGTACTCTGCCACACGCTCACGAGGCTACCCCAACCCCTCCCGAAACCCATTCCAGCCCCTTTTCTTTTCCAAAACCGACAAGCCCACTCATTTTGCCCACCTCACATAATACCCGAAACCCACCCAGCCCACTGCCTACCCAAAGCCAACCCATTTTGCCCACTCCCAATACCCAAACCAGCCCACCCACCACCCGCCACCCAAACCTACTTCCGACGCCCACATCCACCCCCCAGCCCGAAACAGTGAAATATTATCATTCCAATATTTCAATATACACGTCACCCCCTTTTTAATCAATAAGTTTGATCAAAAGTTGTATCCTTCAACGTGGTGTGTTACTTGAGGCAAGGAGACCTTCAAGTGTTCACTATAGCTCTTTGGAAGGAGGAGAAGTTTGCTTCTGGATAAGGAGTTTAGAAATCTCTCTTTATCAAACTTTTTGGGCTAACTGTGAATGAGATAGCTTTGTTATTAGAGATTGCTTCGTTGTGTTGTTATATCTCATCATTCATACTTTCTCCAGTCTTCTAAGGATGCTATTTATAGCTGGATTAGATAATCTATCCGTTGAATCATAATAGACTATCCGTTGCATTTGCTGACTTCAATTTTGAATGAAGATTGTGATTTGAAGATTCTTTGTTGAAGTGGGTGTTTGGACATACCCAATTGTTTGAGAAGTGATTCCACTTTCCACAGAATTCGTCTTCTAGCTGTTGTTCAAGAATTCTGGACTGTAGCACTTTACTCTGTTTGTCTTCTAGTGCTTGTTTAAGAATTCTGGACAGGCTCTTCAATTTTAGAGGTCCAGACTTTGTCTTCGAGTCATTTGTTCTTGAATCAGCATAATTATCTTCGATCTAGCCGTTGAAAATCAAGAGATTGATTTTTCCTTACCAACGGGTAGAATTTCTTCATTCAAGACTTAGATAATTTTCCAAGTTTTTTCTCACTTGTCCGTTTCTGAGAGTTCCGATATTTGAGGCATCCGGTTCTTGGCTGACAAATCCGGAAGAGTCGTTCTCAGTCTTCCAGGTGAGAAAGAGATCCGCACTAGTCTTCTGACTTAGCCTACAGCGGGTTGTAGCGAGACATCCGGTTCTCATGTAGTCTTCCGGATCAGAGGATTTTCATCTGCTTTGAGAAATCCTTACTTGTCTTTGACATTTCCGATCAAGATATCCAATTTCCATATCACCGAATTTGATTAAGTCTTCAGGCATCAAAACGCTTAAAGAAATATCACAACTTTATTGGAAATCTCAAGAACTCGGTTTTGACAATATTTCTAAAAAGAAAAATTACATTGAATATTGGGGGAGACCTAAAGTCCCTATTACATTCTAAATACATCATCATCAAAATCTATAATATTTTTCCCAACATAATTAATGTTTAATAACACTGATTTCGGAAAATACCTCATTCGAAAAGACTATTTTGAGATTACTCAAATAAAATTATAGAGAAATTTACCTAAATAAAATTAAAACATAATAACTTTTCTAATATAGGACCATATGTTTTTATTTCCAATGTATGACCTTTGGTCATTATGAAGTTGTCATTATTCAAATAAATATTCATCATTGCTCGACATTATTTTTCTCAATAGGTCATTATTAAGTACTATTTAGAGAATAAAAAAGTTGAAGTCCTATATTAGGAAAGTCATTATGTTTTAGTCTATTTACGTTAAATTTTACGAAATTATAATTTATAATTAGGTGACTTAAGATTATATTTTTCTAAGAGAATTATATGATTATATACTTTATTTTTAGATAAATGGATAATATCTATACTTTGAGATTGACTCAATGCATATCTTAAGTAGAACTTTTGTTTATGGTAATATGACAAATTATGATATGAAATAAAAGTATTTATATGCAATTATTTGACTATTTTTAAAATATTGAATAATTAAAACAAACAAAATAGAAAAAAAAAGATTTAATAAGACTTATATTTTATCTTGTTAACTTGGTTTAATATCTTAATCAATACGGAGTATAAGCTTACATTGTAATTTACAATTTATATAGTACATACTTATATTGTGTTAGAATTTCAAAATGTTTATACATAAAATTAAGAAATTTTGAATAAGAGACGACTATCATTTAGGCAATAGTACATGGAAAATTTATAGATGATATTTTATTTTTCAATTATTTCATACCATTATTTAAACCATTAGTTTAAGGTAAGTTTGTTAATATTGTACTCCGTAAATTTTTTGTTTGACACTCGCACACCATCGTGTTGTCTCCCTCTGAAATCGAAGTCGCCCACTCCCTCTACCTCTAAAATCGACCCCATGTTCTCCGTCATCTTCTCCGACTAAAGATTCCCGGCCTTGTCACAATCGCACGGACGCACGGTTTTGTATTTCTCTTTCTATCCGATTGTCAACTAAATTGTGGAAATTGCTGAGAAATTTGGAAGTTATAAATTGCTGGAGATCTGGAGTGGAGTGTTGAGGCTTCTCAAAAGGGTAAAATTTCCAATTCCACTACCTGCTTCATAACTACAGTATAGTATGTTCATGCCCACAGTTATGGAATCATGCTTGTTTGGAATGGATTTAGTTTGATGGGAATGGGATGAGCCTTTGTGTTGAACACAAACTGAGTGATGTCCACTGTCCACTGTTTTTACTTACAAATTGGACTATGGAGTCCTTGGTGAATGAAGTCCCCATATCTTGGCTCTCTAAATTTATCATGGATGCTGCAAATTGCTTTTTTTGGTTAATGGATGGATGCAAATTATTTTTTTTCTGGGTGCATTTACATTTGTGGTGTTTTTGCTGCAAGTTCTGTGAATGGATGCAGCAGATTACTTTTTGTTTGCTTCAAGTTCCGTGGTTTCATTTTTTTGGTGCAAATTACTTTTTTTTGTAATGCATATTTGTCATGGATGCTGCAAATTACTTTTTGTGATGCATCTTTGTTGAGTTTTATGATTCCATGCATCTTTGTCAACTGTGGTATTTTGCTTATACAAAATTTTAGAACTTAAAAAAAGTTTGGTCTTTTCGGTCCCTAACGGTTCGTTCCAAATAATTTCGGTCCGGACCGGTCTAAGACTCATTTCTTATAGGTCCGATCTTTGGTCTTTATTTTTTCTCATTTCGGTCTTCGGTCCGGTCCGGTCCGGTCCTGTCCCGGACCGATGAACACCCCTAATCCTCACCGCACGTTTCTAACTGAGTTAATTTGTGTCCGTGTAAATTCATTCAACCACTCGATTTTATTGATTTGGTCTGCATATATACATATAGTGTATAGGAGTATAGTGGATGTAGGTGGGATTGATTGACTGATTGAGCAAGATGATGATGTTGAGGAGGTGTAGCTCAAGGATCAACAGCAGCCATAAGTCCAAGTCTCCAAAGACAAGGAAAAGAAGGTGTGCTGTTGTCAACTTGTCATTGATCTAATACTCCGTAATATTTTATTTCTTTATTTATGTATATGCTTGGATTTTCTTAGACTGACATTGCTCCCTTTTTGTATACTACTTGAGCTTCGATTTTGTTTGTTTGTTTGTTTTTTGTTTTTTTAAAGTTTTGAATTAGTTATAAAATAATACTAGTATGTTGGTGGATGGATGTTAGATCATGGAAGACGGCCATGGTTTTCCCCAAACTGGGCAGGTTTCGAATGGTGAGGAGGAGAATAAGAAAAAGAAGAAGAAGCAGTGTTCTTCATCCCACAGGTTTAAGGTAATCCTGGACACGCTTATACTTCTTTCTAATTACTACGATACTGGGTTGGATGCTAGTCCCACAGGTATGGCTTTTATTTGTTTGTTTGTTTGTTCGATTGAAATAAACAGTATGCCCTTGAGAAGGTGTAGTTCCAGGGGCATGAGACAGAGAAGGAAGAGTGGTAGGTGTGAGGACAGTGACATGAATGCTGATTCTGATTCTTTGGAGTCGTGTTTTGTGGATGCGCACAAATTCTTTCCTTCCCCTCCCACTACATTAAATTGTCTCTACGAGGAGGAGGATGAGGAGGATGTGGAGGATGAGGAGGATGGGGAGTGTTTTTACAAGGAGAAAGAGTTCAGCACCCACACTATTCCTGATGTATCTGTTATAGAGGTGAGCAAGGGTAAGCATCTGGATGTTATAGACGTGTTGAATTGTATTTGCAAAGGAAAATCAACTACCCAAAGAAAAATTAATTGGCATAACAAGCAATAACTAATTCCCATGGAACAAACACGTGCATACATCCCCAGCCCGTGCGAAGCACGGGGTAGACAACTAGTTTATATAATCATTTAGAATAATACTCCCTCCGTCCCAAAAAGTCTTTCACGTTTCAAAAAAATCGTGTCCCCAAAAGTTTTTCCCATTTCTATTAAAAAATCATTTTTACCCTTTTATTTTTTATACTTTACATATTACATCATACATTTTTTCTAATAATCTACACATACATTTTACTTTTACATATCGCATCAAATGTGTTTTTGGAAAATCAACACAAAATAATCTCTCGCTTATTTTATCATTTTAATCAATATGTCTTTATCTTAATGGGACGGAGGGAGTATATTTTTAATAATATGGTCAACGTTTTAAAATATTGACAAAAAGTCAAAATAGTGAAGAAAGGTTTTGTCAAGTGCATTAATATTTTACTCTATATAGATACACTCTACATATGTTTCTCGAAAAGCTCTATTTCACCACTAGTACTCTGACAACGTGTCACGCACGACGGCACGAGATCATACACAATCTTCCCTAGTTCAAAAAATATTTTTCAATGCAATAATTTTAGATTAAAAAAAATAAATTTCTAACATGATTTTTAATACTATATTTCTAACATGATTTTTAATGCTCAATTGTCCGGTCGATATCAATAGCTACAACTGCAACTATTTGGCATGAATAATCAAATTCAAGTACTCCTTTTCATCACGGGAAATAAGGGATATTAAAAATTCATATACCATTTAAAAAACTTTGAGAGTTGGTTCTAATAGTGTCTTTTATTAAAAAAGAATAATTTTTCATATTCTTCATGTTCTGATAAGTGAAGTCTATTATACCTTTGATGGGATAACTTGCGTCAAGAATCAAGAATTCTAACGAAACTACAATGTTAACAGTTCCATCAATCACCTGACCAATCTGTCTATCTCTGACTTTGATAATCCAATCACAAAAAACTTGTCTGTCACTATCTGCGCAAGAGGACAACGTAGATGAATGCAACATCATATATTCTTGGCCAATGTAAAAACTTTACAATACAACCATAATTTTGGGGAAATCATGGTACTGCATACAATTTCCTCTCTCGATGCTCTGGGTTAAACATGAAGAATCTGGTGCAAATCACCTTTGGTTCAATTGTTCCCCCCGAATGGTTCATCCTATAGTCTCCTGGTCACTTTGCATGTTTTTACCTTTTCACTTTATCGAATCAAGTAAACAATTCTAGACCCGGTCTAGTATAGTTTACCTGGTTAGGTAATTTATACCATCAGGACTAAAAGATAAAAGTACCAAAATATGACTTCTATATTTTTATTTTTGAAATAGGAGTTCGCATTGTGGTAATGTAGTACTGTACATGTGCACATGAATATACTTTTGGTAATTTGCATGACCATATTTGACAATGTAAATGCATTTTAACTTTTATTTCAAGAATTAAATCATGGAAATCTTATATCCTAACTAGGGGTGTTCATGTTTTGATCTGGACCGAAAAACCCGACCGAACCGGACCGTTAGGTCTAGACCGAACCCGTACTGATATTATATCGGGTCGGTCTTCGGTTCGGATAATTTTTAATTTCGGGTATCGGTTTGGTCTGGTCTATACCGGAATAAATTTCTAAATAGACCGATTAAATACCATATATGATATCTTAGCCTCTCACATCCGGACATCGATGTAAATCAGTATTCCTGTGGACACTCGACATCTTGCTTCTCGCACGAGTAATGCTAGATTTAAAAATAAAATTTTCACAAGATACACAATCTTATTATTTACTCGTATGTATTTTAGTTTTTATTTTTTAATTATTTGAGAATTGAGAACAATTACTTTACATCATCGTCTGAAATCGAAGTCGGCCACTTCCTCGCACAACATCGTCTTGTCTCCCTCTGAAATCGAAGTCGCCCACTCCCTCTACCTCTAAAATCGACACCATGTTCTCCGTCATCTTCTCCGACTAAAGATTCCCGGCCTTGTCACAATCGCACGGACGCACGGTTTTGTATTTCTCTTTCTATCCGGTTGTCAACTAAATTGTGGAAATTGCTGAGAAATTTGGAAGTTATAAATGGATGGATTCAAATTACTTTTTTTCTGGGTGCATTTACATTTGTGGTGTTTTTGCTGCAAGTTCTGTGAATGGATGCAGCAGATTACTTTTTGTTTGCTTCAAGTTCCGTGGTTTCATTTTTTTGGTGCAAATTACTTTTTTTTGTAATGCATATTTGTCATGGATGCTGCAAATTACTTTTTGTGATGCATCTTTTTCGAGTTTTATGATTCCATGCATCTTTGTCAACTGTGGTATTTTGCTTATACAATATTTAAGAACTTACAAAAAGTTCGGTCTTTTCGGTCCCTACGGGTTCGTTCCAAAGAATTTCGGTCCGGACCGGTCTAAGAATGATTTCTTATAGGTATGGTCTTCGGTCTTTATTTTTTCTCATTTCAGTCTTCGGTCTGGTCCGGTCCCGTCCCGTCCCGGAACGATGAACACCCGTAATCCTCACCGCACGTTTCTAACCGAGTTAATTTGTGTCTGTGTAAATTCATTCAACCACTTGATTTTATTGATTTGGTCTGCATATATACATATAGTGTATAGGAGTATAGTGGATGTTGGTGGGATTGATTGACTGATTGAGCAAGATGATGATGTTGAGGAGGTGTAGCTCAAGGATCAACAGCAGCCATAAGTCTAAGTCTCCAAAGACAAGGAAAAGAAGGTGTGTTGTTGTCATTGATCTAATAATCTTTTATTTCTTTATTTATGTATATGCTTGGATTTTCTTAAACTGACATTGCTCCCTTTTTGTATACTACTTGAGCTTCGATTTTGTTTGTTTGTTTTTTTTTAAAGTTTTGAATTACTTATAAAATAATACTAGTATGTTGGTGGATGGATGTTAGATCATGGAAGACGGCCATGGTTTTCCCCAAACTGGACAGGTTTCGAATGGTGAGGAGGAGAATAAGAAAAAGAAGAAGAAGCAGTGTTCTTCATCCCACAGGTTTAAGGTAATCCTGGACATGCTTATACTTCTTTCTAATTACTACGATATTGGGTTGGATGCTAGTCCCACAGGTATGGCTTTTATTTGTTTGTTTGTTTGTTTGTTCGATTGAAATAAACAGTATGCCCTTGAGAAGGTGTAGTTCCAGGGGCATGGGACAGAGAAGGAAGAGTGGTAGGTGTGAGGACACTGACATGAATGATGCTGATGCTGATTCTTCAGAGTCATGTTTTGTGGATGCGCACAAATTCTTTCCTTCCCCTCCCATTACATTAAAGTGCCTCTACGAGGAGGAGGAGGATGAGGAGGAAGTGGAGGATGAGGAGGATGAGGAGGGTTTTTACAAGGAGAAAGAGTTCAGCACCCACACTATTCCTGATGTATCAGTTATAGAGGTTAGCAAGGGTAAGCATCTGGATGTTATAGACGTGTTGTCTGACTCTGGCCGGAGGCCTTACCTGGTTAATAAATTTGGGGATCGCGTTCCCGTTGATTCTCTCAGGGGCAAATATGTCATTATCTGTTGTGCCTCCGTGCCTCTGCGTGCTAATTACTCTTGTCAGGGTGCTGCCGTATGCCGGACCATCATGGCTGCACGCTCATGCGGGACTCGTCGTCCTAATTTTGAGATCGTCGTTGCTGCCAAGATGCTTCGTGATTGGGACAGGGAGGATGTTTTCAACCACTTCTTCTCTGGTTTCTTTGATGATACCCTCGCCATCCCCTTTTGGGATGTTGCCTCCCGACACCGTTTATGCGATTCTGTCCGCTTGGAATCGGATACTGTTGTGCCTCTTGTTGTAGACCCCCAAGGCTTGGTTTTACAGTCAGTAATGGATGCTAGTTGGAAGTTTGATGAATATGGCTCCGAGTTTTTCCCCTTCACTGATGAACATTTGGGTGAGCTTGATAAAGCCGACCTAGAACTGAGGGTAAAGTGGGATAAAATTTACAGGGAACATAAGAAGGATGATTTGAGAAGAGAACTTGGTGATAACTTTGAGCAGATATGCAGCACCGGTCGTCCCTCGCTCGACTCTCTACTGGGCTGCACCACTCTCACGAAGCTTGATGATACAGGAGTGGGTATATTTGTGACAGAGTTGAGCCGGAAAGTTGTGGGAATATACCTCTGCAAGGATGGGTCGTCGATGGACACTTTCCACCAGTTCCAGCAACGGTGTTTGTCTCACGGTGGCGGTGATTTTGAGATGGTGCTGGTCTGCCTTGCCTTTGAAGAGGACCATAGCTCATTCCTGGAACATATTAAGCTTGCATTGAAGAAGCGTGGCATCGACTCCTGGTGGCTATGCCCCTCTGACGACAAGACATGTCGAATGCTTGCCCGGCTCACTTATTGCTTTTGCTATGCAGATGAGTTGATCATTGTGCCGCCTGGTGAAAAATCAGCCGAGCTGGAGGGAAGGAATGTGTTACAAGTCAGGGAATTTGATGACCCAAAGTATTATCCCTTCACCAGAGAATCTATACTTGAAAAGAGGCTGGCTATGTTCAAGTCACACACAATAGAGTCACTGTTGGCAAAGGACTTCACGTATCTTGTTCGCGGGGACAGTCAGGAGAGTGTGACTCTGAGTGACCTTAGAGGCAAAAAAATTATCCTTTACTTGGACATGTTTGGGGGTGATGATCTGCGGAGTTACTGTCTCCTGAGTGACTATTACTCCGACATTCAGCGCGAGCATGGAGATTGTGAAGTAGTCTTCCTTCCGTTGTGTGAAGGGAAAGCTCGTAAGATGGCATGGCTGAAGCTGCCTTCTCCATCTGGTTATGTGAATGGTCAGGTATTGGCGTACATGGATGAGTCTGAGGAGGTTGGTTCCCTCATAGCATTTGGGGAAGATGGTCGGATGGTCTCCAGAAATGTTAGGGACAAACTCGAGGATGAAGATATTTCTTCAGTCTTCAATGATACCCTTCGCCAAGAGATACTTGCTGTTCTGGCTGATTTGGAAACTAATTATATGTTGTACTGATAGTACTTATAATTACTCCCTAATTTTAGTCTTTATTTATTCAATTACGGAATATTTGAGTGCTTTGTGTTACTATTTTTGTCTTTATTTAATTGCTGATCATTAGGAGTGTTATTATTGTTCGGACATTGTCATTGTAATCTTAATCTACTACTACTACTACAATTTTAGTTGTGGTCAGGGGTGCATTGATTGGTCCAGACCCATATCGATCTGGAACCTGGTTAAATTCGTACTGGACCAGTCTAAACTGTTCCAATTTCGGTTCGTTTTGTGGTCCTTAAATTGTTCTTATTCAAATTTTGGTCTAAGTCCAAACCGGGTGGAATGGTGGACAAGGTGGGTGTAAGTTTTTTTTTTACTTTTTTTTATTATAGTATCTCTGAGGAAGGTGCAAGTTTATTTTAGTGAAATTTGCACTAAATAATACTAATCCATATGTCCTTTTTGAATGTCGTATGTAAAAAAATTTTATTCCCTACATAGTACTTGAATAATGTCTACCGGTGAGAATAATGCCTAGTAATGGTGTGTATTTTGTTTGAACAATGTCCAGTCGTGCTGGACATTTACTTGAAGAATGAGCCGTAGACATTGAACAGTGGTATTACATTGGAAAATAAAAACATTTAATACGGAAAAATCACTAGGTTTAGTACTATTTAGGTAAATTTTTCTTTATTTTAATGATGTGGCATGTGGCCTATGGCCTTGCCGCCTTGGCCTTTTATTCTCCTTCCAGGCTATGATTTCAATTAGACTTGTACGGGTTAATTATTGACTAAAGAATCATAAAAAGTTTTGACAAAGGAAATGATAAAAATACTTAAAAATTAGTTAATAAAATATAATCCTAAAGAAAGATAAATATACGTTTATAAACAATATCGATGTGAAGTGGTGTAAGTTTTAAAAAAATTCTTTATAAACTACATTTATAATTTAGTTCGACACTGCAAGGTCTTCATTGGAAATCAAGATTTTTAATTTAATCTTTTGCAATTTATGATCTTTAATTTAATCATTTGTGATTTAAGTGAGCATGACTGAATAATGATTTGTGACTAACAGTCCAGCATGAAACAAAGATTACTCTTGACTTTTGCTAATCGTCATTGCATATGAAGTCATAACTAAGAATAATTTCCTTTTGGAACTTAAAAGATTCTTGTATCTGACGGTGTAAGCGACAACTGCGGGATAACAACTTTTTAACTAATATTTTTTCCTGCGTTGCATGGAAAGAAAATTTATTTTATTATGATATGCAATATTTAACAATCGATTAGATTTCGTTGACACTGAAAATGAGTGCCAAAAGATGACATTGACTCTAAATTGACTTTTAAGGCAATAAAACCTTGAGTATGAAATTGAAGAGGTTAGGGCATTGGGTTCAAGTTGGGCTGGGGTAGGGGCTTACTGAAGGTAAGAACCATTAATCTTACAAATGAAGCATCATAGATGTTCGAAATCTGAAGTGGTACCACATTGTCAACGGTACGCAATGTCACTAGAATCGTGCTTTTTGAGAATGAAAAGACTAATACAAATAAAGTAACATTAACGTGTAGTTATTAATAATAAACAAAAATGCATGCATTTTTTGATTAGTGAGTGTACGTGCACGAATGCGAATTGTTATTGAGTTTTATACTTTTATTAACTACTCCCTCCGTCCTAAAACTTTCTTCTCACTTCCCCTTTTTCTCCGTTCTAAAACTACCTTCTCATTAGAAAAAAAAAGATGACAAATGACATTAATACCCTCATGTATTTACACCAATTATCTTCTAACTCTATATTTTGAATGATTGTAAAAAAAAATTTCAAAAAAACTTTTTTAAGGAGGATAAAATTTGAAGTCAAAGCCAAAAATTAAAAATGGAAAAAAGTCAAACCGGAAAGAAAGAATTAGGACGGAGGGAGTATCATTATGTGAAAAAATGTACATACACATATATATGATGTTCTATATAATACTCCCTCCGTCCCGTGAAACATGGAACATTTGTTTTTTAGGAGGAATTTAAGGGAGTGTATTTTGGTATTGAATTTCCAAAAATATCCTTTGATGTGATGGGTAAAAGTATGATTTGATGGATATATTATTAGTAAAAAGGTATGATGTGATAGTTAGGGTATGAAAAAGTAAGAAGTAAAAATGACTTTTTAATTGAAATGAGAAGTGTTTTGTGGGACGGATAAAAAAAGAAAGGGGAAATGTTTAACAGGACGGAGATAGTATAAGAATTTACCTTAAAAAACTTACGCGACGTTCTTTGAGATTCTAGTTATTACAGAGTAAATTATAAGGCAACATTTTCTAACAATTTCAAATTTGTTTCGATTCAGTCTTTTTGGATGTGAAATATTTTTTTGAAAATGACTGAAAGTTTATTTATGTGAAAAAAAGTGAGTCACAAAACTATTACTCTTCTCATATTTCTCACAAAACTATGATTAGAAAGAGAAATAGTGTGAGATAAAATTTAAAAAATGAAATATAATTTTCGTTGCTAAAAATATGAAATTTTAAAGAATAATGTTTTTATAAATACTTCAATTTTCAAACTCTTTTAATTTTCTTCAAGGTTTCTAATTTTTTTAACTTCTTTCTAAAATTTTAAAAAATTGATGTTTTACAAAAAAACATCCCAACATAAAACTTTCAATTAATATAAAGTATGGAAAGGAAATTATTAAACCACATACCACTTGCCACACATTTTTACTATTTAATTTCTCAGCAAATTGTACAAAAAATATTTAAATTGAGGTATTGTGTATGAGTATTAGGCCCTGAGTAGGTGCTGTAACACCTGCTGCACCATTTGCTTCTCTATCTGTGCGTGTGCTGGAAAAGGTGTTATAACACACTCTCTGTCATTTATTAGTGCCATTTGTTAGTGTGACAGTAATGCAATATCTTTTCTGCAGCATAATTGATTGATTTGTTTGCATAACTTTTAATTGGTGATTTCCGCTGCACCCCCACGAACTTTCACCTACTTCATAGCTCTAAGTATGGTCTATTAAGCATGTCCAATGAGTTTGAAAGACCCTATGCAATTTAGAAATATTGGCCCTAAAGTCATGAAATTAAGAACAATGATATAAGATATTTATAAAAGTTTAGTCCATTTTTAAGAACAAATTGACACAACATACTATTTTTTTCAATTAAATAAAACTGGAATAAGAAGAACTTCTCCCCTGGCTTGAGTGGTAGCAACTCATTCCCCAAAATTCTTGGGAAAGTTAAATTAGGTTCGAACACCAATGGAAACAGAAGCATTGACTTTTTGTGCATCTTTAGATTGAGAATATTAAGAACAAATACTACCTTGCAATAGAGTCAATAACATTAAAAAAAACCCGAAATAAGTAACATATGGACGAAAGATAACCAATTTTTTCGGTCAAAATATATAAACTTTGACTTTAAATTAAATAAAAATGATATTAAATATTGATACAAAAATAGTTTTATTAGATGTATTATACTCCCTCCGTCCCCCTGTATTTGTCCACTTTTATTTTTACATACCATCCAATGCACTTCTTTAATTCATTTTATCTTGTAATTTGTATATTAAAAAATTATAAAAATTATATATTAATAATCTATATGTTAAGACAAATCAAACAAGATCACACATGACTATATTTAGGCTTACACATTGAGAGAATTTGATGAGTCAAAGTGCTTAGATGAACAGTTCCAAAAGTCAAATGTGGACAAATACAGGGGGACAGAGGGAGTA